CAGTCAGTCCACTGACCTGCGTTCTGCGTCCCTTCCCTTCCTTTCTAGCCTTTCCTGCGTCATTAGTTCTTCCTTATTCAGGTTGTGTCAGCAACCTGCCTTCCTCTGGTGTTTTGCATTCAACCATTATTGCCATTATCAAGAATATCATTTTTATAGCCATCTTTACTGGGAACTCACTACATTCCAGGCACTTTGCTGAACATTTTACATTCATGTGCTAGTTTAGTCCTTATGATAGTCCTATGAGGGTAGTATCATTATTCCCTTTCCTGGTGTCATTTAAACATAATTATGCCTCCTTTATTTAAAGCACGGCTCTCTCTAGACCATATGCCCCTCTACTTCATGTCATATGCCTCCCATTATGTCTACACCACGATTCCAGCATATTATCTCCAGCAGCTGTCTCTCCATTTTGACCTCCCTCTTAACTCTTATCTCCCTGCACCCTGAGCCCTATCTGACTCTGGAAGCTCCCACTGACGTCACAGAGGGTGACCTCCAGACAGCAAACACAGTGACTGTTTCAGGCTTATCTTCCTGGCTTCGCAGCAGCAGATGACACCGATGGCCACTGCCTCCCTGTGGTCCTCTTACCTTTCCAGCTCGCATTTCCTCTGGCCTCATTAGGTGTTTATGTTCCCTGGAGCTCTGTGTCTGATGCTTTTCTTCCTTGCTCCCTGCCCTCTCAACAAGCACTCTCTACCTCAGCTTAACTACCAATCCCACTGTCACTCCAGGACCTTCCAACCAAGGTGTCTGTTTCCATGTTGATCATTCCTCCAGTGAGCCAGTCAGGGCTCATCCTTCACCATCCTCATTCCAGCGAGTTCTTCTGCTTTCTGCACTTTGCCACTTGCCCAATCATCAACATTTCAGGTTCCCTCCTTTCTTTCGCTCTTTATATCTAATAAGCATTATATCTTATGCAAGGCTTCTCTTTCATTTTCTTCCTTTCCATCTTTATTGTGATTGTCTTAGTTTAGACAGTCATCATTTTCTAATCTCATGGATGCCTTGCATTCATCCATTGAGTGGTATGGATATATTTCCTATAAAAGCAATGATATATTTTTGCTTATCTTCAATTCCTCAATATCTCCCTAATTTCATTCCCTTTTTAAAAAACATATTTTTAATTTATTAGTAAGACAGGCAGACAGCCAGAGACCACCTATCTGATGACTCACTCCCTAAATCCATTGGGTAGATGGAATCTGGGGGGAAAAAAGGCAGGCATGATCTGTCAATGGGCAGATCTGCATTTGTTCCATCCAGCATCTTAAACCCTGCGGACTTTTGGACTTAGCTGAGTGGAGGCCATCAGCTCTGAATGGTAATGTCAAGTCTTTGTGTTGAAAAGCTCTTTGCTGTTGAAAAGCTCACATTTTGGGCTCTGTTGCTGCCATCACTTTCCAAGGAAACCTGATCCGGAACATTCTCAGAGATAAGATGCTTGGTCCAGCACAGGTGAGTAACTGGAGTTTTAACCTCTGTCATGCCAACAGGACACATTGGAGCACCATTGCCTGAGACTGCACTAAAGTCATTTTCTGATTGCTCCAAGTTCTCCTGTCTCCCCCGAGGAGACAGAATCCTGACTGGAGTCTGGGCGTGATGAGATTGGAGCAGAAGATTACAGATGAGTCAGAACACTGCAATCCTCAGAAGGTGGAAAATCTCTGCAAACTATATATTTCCGTTAAGATGTTTACCTGAAAGCTACACTGCAAAGTGTTTTTTTTTTTCTTTGTCTTAACTTGACCATTTAATGCTTAGAAATGGTCTGTCAACTGTCTTGTGCAGGTGCCACCACTACGTGATCATGGATGAAGGATATGGGTCCCAAACACCTTGTCGCCCAGCTAATAGCAAGTCTACCCTGTGGAGAAGGGCTTCTGGAATGACTTGCATTGTCTGCAGACCCAGGAGGGGGACCAGCTGAGCCTGCTCTGAATAGATGCCCCCTAGAAAGAAGAGCTAAGTAGCTGTTACTTTTACACCACAAAGTTTGGGGAGGGCTGCTTTGAAGTCAAAGCCAGTGACTGATATCTGTGCTCCTAATTTTTCTGCCACGGCTCAGCACACAGAGATAGAAGCAGCACATGAAAACCCCCATGCAACAGGGAGTGAAGCCAGGTGTTGCCCACATAGGTCACCCTGCTGGAGAGACGGAAGGAGTGAAGTAAATGGGGGCTCCCCAGGAAAGCCCCAGGTCTGTCTCCTTTCCCTTCAGGGGCAGGGCAGGCAGATCCTTTTGGCCTATTCTAGACAAAACAGCAAACAGGATTTTGATTTGCAGCCAGAAAGGAATTTAGCCTCTCACAAGGCAGGGCTGAGTCTTATTACAGCAGTGTTTCAAGTGTGCAGTTTAAGGGGTCAGATGGGAACAACAAGACGAGGAAGGTGTCTTCTGAGTGAACCCACTCAGGGGTGCTGTTTGCCTTCCAGCTCTGAAGGACAAAGAAGGGAAAGCTATTATTGGCTCTGACTTAGCTCAGGGGGCAGAGTGTTAACTAAGTGTTCACCTTGCAGCGCTCTGGTGTGGAAGCCTTTCTGGCTGGTGTACATGAGAATTTCAGATCTGGAATGGGTCTTCAAGATTTTCTTGTGGGAACTCTTACCTTCACTTAAGTGCTTCCATTTATTTTTATAGTTACTGTTTTGATCACGCAGGTAATGCCTGGATGTCTCCTCGGTGTGAAGTAGAAGGCAGACACTTGCCCTCTTGGTGCCAGGGGGCCTTGCCCTCCAGTGCATAAGCAGGTAGTGGTCGGAGGCAGCGGGCATCCTTCCAGCTTCCCTCCTACTTATTATTCACATTGAGTTGGACAGAAACAGTTGTGTTTCCATCGTTCTATGTTCGGATCACACTGAGTATCTTGTTCTTAAATTTTCTTGCCGGGAACGATCTTAGAGAGATCTTTTTGGGTCTACTCAGAGAATTCAGATCCATCAGGTTGCAGACTATTTCATTCATGGGAATAGCAATGCTCTATTAACTATTCCATTCAAGACTGTCATTTGAAAGGTAAGGGAACAGACAGGCACATGCTCACTGCTTACAGCACTTGGTACTGGGTCATTCGGAAGCCCTGGGATTCAACCCAAGTCTCCCAGGTGGGTTGGCAATGACCTAGGTACTTATGCCCCCACCTGCTGTCTTCCTCCAATAACAGGAAGTGGGACTCAGGGAGCAGAGTTAGGGCCCCCATCGGACACTCTGAAGTGGAATGAGGGCATCCTGAGCGGCATCACTGCCACTATACCAAACGCCTGTGCCAAGACAGTCTCCTCTTCAGGGGAGATAAAGATGGCTTCCATTTCTTTGCCTTTTATACATCTTGGAGCAAGAAGCATGCTGGTGATAACTCTTTGAACATCATGATGTCTTTATAGCTAGATTCCTGGAAACAGTATTCCTAAAATAAAGGGCATATGTATTTCTAAGTCTTGACACAATTTGCTTTAAATCATCTCCACTTCGTGTCTGCCATAGGAAAGTATTTAACTGCCTTTTTTATTTTTGGCAGTTGATGGTCTACTCAAATTTTGCTTACCTAACTGACTTACAAATTTTAATTTTCTTTCCCAGGAAATCACTCATGATCTATAGATTTTCACACTTGCTGATAATTATATTTTAAATAATGTATTTTAGTTTATAAAAATACCTTGGATTCATGTTCCAGTTTTGTTATTAATATTTGTATCTTTTACATTTTTCTTGAGCTCTATATATCTACAGATCTTTTTTTATAAACAGATTTATTGATTATTCTGTTTTAACTTAATAATGGCTTTTATTATTATTCTATTTTCCTATTTCTTTGGGGATATATTAAGATTTTTTTTATGTAATTTTTCTGGATATAGCTTAGTTCATTTAGTCTTATTAGTGTCTTTTTTTCTTTTTTATTTAGTATCTTTTTTGTAAAGATTTATTTATTTTTATTGGAAAGTCAGATATATAGAGAGGAAGAGAAACAGAGAAAGAGCTTTCATCCGTTGATTCACTCCCCAAGCAGCCACAACAGCCTGAGCTGAGCCAATCAGAAGCCAGGAGCCAGGAGCTTCTTCTAGGTCTCCCACATGGGTGCAGGGTCCCAAGGCTTTGGGCCATTCTCAACTGCTTTCCCAGGCCACAAGCAGGGAGCTGGATGGGAAGTGGAGCTGCCACAACTAGAACCGCTGCCTATATGGGATCCTGGTGCATGCAAGGTAAGGACTTTAGCCACCAGGCCACCACACCAAGCCCTAGTATTTTTAAAGCATTAATATAAAGTTATATCTTTTCCTTTAAGAACTGATTTTGATGTACAGTATCCTCATGTTTCCTGAGTCTTAATAACTCCCATGTTAAATTGACTCCAAATTTTATATATAAAACTGCTTTGTATATAAGTAAATGTATATATATGTGTGTGTGTGTGTATATATATATATATAATGACAGATTTGGGGGGATAAGGGATATCCTTTTAATGTGGATTCTCTGATCATGGCTGATAAAATTTTTACTCTGGAAAAAACTTTTTGTGATTTGTGTATGACTGCAGTATGTGCACGTATATATCTGTGTAAGTGGCTTAACACAAGAAAACTTCATGAGTGTTTGAAAAGAGAGCTTATTTTGTTTCTCTTTCACACTAAGTGGGTTCTTACAGCATTCAAATTCTCCATGTGTAAGGTCTTTCCTAACCTTTGAGCAAGATAAGCAAAATACTTTGGTGTGTTTGTAGATTTCCTATCCCCTAGAATCTCTGTCATCTTCCTCCCTGCCCGTCACATTGTAAGTATAAAGGTTTCTGGCAGTCTGAGCCTTTTATCACTACCAACTACTTCCCGTTTGGTAGCTTTCCCTTCACTTTTACTTACGTGTCATTTCTATGATTTTTGATTACAATTTTCTTGGATTATCTTTTCTGTTCATTCATTGTAAACATCTCTATGTAGGTAAAGCAATACTAAGCCAATGGTTGGGGTTCAGAGCTTACCTGTGTCACCATCCGTCTCTGAAATCTTCAACAAGTAACGTGATCCCTCTGCACCTCAGTTTCTGGAAAATGAGAATTCATGTTAAGCCTGTTTCATGAACTTACTGTAGGAATTGAACAGCACAGAATAAATGATGAATGGACATTAGAAATAACTATTGTCCTTTTATGTGTTTCATCTGAAACAATTAGAAAAATTTGTGGGAAAAGTATTTAAAAGGTAAATTTGTGGGCAAGTGTTTGCCCTGGTGTCTATGACTAGGCAGGGATCCTCTGGTTACGATGCCCTTGTCCCACATCAAAGCGCGTGAGGCTGCTTCCTTATGTCAGCTTCTGATTCCAGGACCCTGCACCTGTGCACCCCAGGAGGAAGCCATCATGGCCTACGGCATCAGGTTCCTCACACCCACACGGGACACCTGGATTGAAATTCCAACTCCCGGCTCAGGACACCAGTCTGAAAAAGTGAACCAGAGCATGAGAGCTCTCCCTGCTCCATTTCTCTCTGTGTCTCTCACATTAAAAAATAAATAAATAAATAAATAAGTAAGATAATTTTGGTAGGAAAAAAGTTTATGGTTAGTTTTTTTTTATAATATGCATTTACACAAACTCTTTGAAGACCCCACATATAGATGGACGCTTAAAAATAAATCTGAGTATTGAATACGTGTAAGAGATAGGTTTAGCACATACATATTTCCAGTGTTTTAAACAGTTTAAAAATTCATTCACTTCAAGTTCACTTCAAAGCAATTAATTGCTTTTCAGCAAATGTATAGTTGTGCAATTTCTTCATCTTATTCCTACTGTAGAACATTTTCATCACTGCCAAAATAATCTTGTTCCCACTGTGAGTACTTTCCCACTTGGAGGCAACTGATGCACTATCTGTCTCTACAGATTTGCTTTTTCTGGAAATCTCTCAGAAAGGAATCATATAATATACAAGCTTTTGCGCAGGAGTTGTTTTACTTAGCATAATGTTTTTGAGGTTCATTCAAAGTGGATTATTTACACTTTTTTGATGTCACAAATGTTTGAATATAAACATGCATGGGATCAGGTGTTTAATTTTGTGTAGATTTTCTGGGACTGCTATTGCTGGGTTATAGAGTGTAGTTTATATTTGACTTTTTAAGAAACTATCAAAATTTTTCCCAGTTTTTTCCTACTGTTTCATACCCAGCTTCTCACATTCTTGCCAACATTTAGTATGCTAATCTTCTTAATAATTCAATTAAGACTAGGTAGAATAGTTTAATTTTTGCTTTAACAAAGACTATATTTAAATAGCCAATACACATTCATATAAAGATGTTATTATGGAGGTACTAATGAAAATCACAATGAAATCCTATTTTGTCTTCACAGAATGGCAACGGTAAAATATTTGGTCATTTTAAAATGAGGTTGAACACTTTATAACTTCTTCTATGAGGCCAGTGTTACCCTGGGATCTAAACTGTAGATCCATCTCTCAATCAAACTATCAATCGATATCTCTGAATCACATAGACCCAAGGAGCCTCAGTGAATCCTCAGCAAGCTGAATCTAGCAGTATACATGAAAAGATTACACACTGTGATCAAGTAGGGTTTATCCTGGAAACACAAGATTGTCTTAACGTCTGAAAATGTACTCATGCAATGTACTATGTCAATGGCCTATAAGTCAAAAACCATATGATCACCTCAACAGATACAATAAAGGTAATAAAAAAATTCAGTGTCTTTTTGTGATTAACAACAGCATCAAACACACAAAAATGGCTACATGGAAGTAGGAATGGAAGGGAATTCCCTTAACCTGCTAGAAGACAACTGTGAAAACTCACGACTGAAAGCATTTTATATGAAAGGGTGAAAATGTGTCCTGTAAAACCAGCAGCACGACACGGATATATTGTGGCCTAGCGGGGCAGTCGTGGAATAAAGAAGGGAAGGCATCCAGACTGGAATGAAAGGAACAGAATTATCTTTGTGAGTAAACCCCAGGGACTTGATTCTAACCACAAATGATGATATACAAATGTATACTCAAGAAACTACGAGCACTGATGAGCAAATTTGAGAAGGTTGCAGGATGCAAGATCTATTAAAAAGATCAGGGTTTATGGTGTGGGATAACAGTCCAAAAGCATCCTTCTGCATGTGAATATCAAATTATCTGAGAAACACATGTTTAAAAACATCACCCACTGAGCTGCCTCAAAACATTTCTTCCATATCCGCTAGCCATAAATGTAAGGACTCATTTTTGGATGCCCAATTGTGTCTACTCTTACGCTTGTATTTTACTATTTTGGTTACTTTAGTGTTATAGTAAGTTTTGAAATCAGAACATGCAAGTCTTTACTTTTACTCTTACTCAAAATCTTTTGGGTTATTCTGAGTCATTGATATGTCTATAAAATACTCAGATTCAATTTAATCATTTCCTCCCAAAAAGCTTTTATGGGAGATTTTGATGAATGTTGTATTATCTATAGATTTGGTGAACAATTGATATCAATTTTTTTTAATGGTGAAAACCATATATTTAGAATTAGGCAGCTGGATTCAGATTAGATGTTCCGTGTTGTTGGCGACATCCAGAGCCTCATCATCAGGAGCCAGCCGCACATGTACCTTCTTTCCTCCATCAGGCCTGGTCAGGGCGTGGACTTGGGCCACATCCATGAGCGTGTTGTTGTCTTCTGTCTTCTTGCTAGCCGCCTCTGTGATGGGGGAGCTTGATGACGGCATAGTGCTCAAGCTTGTTCCTCCTGGGGGCGCTCTTCACAGGGCATCTGGGTCGCAGGTGCTGCGTCTTGGGCCATGGGGTGGTGGATGATGTGCAGATCTTCTTGTGGCTGTGGTGCCTTTCAGCACCGCCTTCTTGGCCTTCAGAGCCTTCCTTGGGCTTTGGCTCCGTGAGGGGCAGGAGCTTCCATCTCTGCCTTGGGCGCCATCTTGGTGAAAAGGGTTTCTCAGGGCTCCTCCCATGGGCTTATCGATATTTTCTTTAAAAGTTTCTTTGGGATTAGCTAGTGAATCCATATATCTGGTCCTGTACCTTTTTTTTTTTTTAAATTTTGGGCGAGAAAATTGTCAATTACTAACTTGATCTCTCTGTTCTTTAAAACCCATTCATATTTTCTATTCCTTCTTCAACCCTTTTAAATTTATTTGACAATCATCAATTTATTGTGTAGTCAACCTCCATAGTCTTTAATTGATCGCTTACTACAATTTTGTTCCATTTTATTGTCCTCTTCGACTAAAGAATTTTCCAAGCTCCTTCCTCCTCTCATATTTACATTTATTGAATGGAATTATTTGTTTTAACTGTAAATTTTATTTTTTATTATGTTTTCATGTTCTTCTTCCCTCATGCTTTCCTTTTAGTGAAGCAATTGCATTTTCTTTTATCCTGTTCCTTCTTAATGATTGGAGAAGTTACATACTACATTTTGCTTTCTAGTGGCAGCCTTTTACACTTAAATACTTCTAGGCAATTTTCTTTCAGTGTCCTAAATTTTCTTACTTACTTATTTGAAAGGCAGACCGACAGAGAGAGGGATAGAGAAAGAGTGAGGAGAGAGTAAAGAAAATATTTTCCATCTAATTGTTCACTCCCCAAATGCCCACAAAAGCTGGGATGAGGAGTCAGGAATCCATGTGAGTGTCCCAGACGGGCGGGAGCAAGCCAAGGCCATCACCTTCTGCCTCCCAGCATGTGCGTTAGCAGGAAGCTGGACGAGAAGCAGAGGCGGGCCTTAATCCTGGGCACCCTGATAGGGAACACAGGCCTCCCAAGCAGTGGCTTCATCGATTGTGCCACAACATCTGATCCCATTTTATCTTCAATGACTAACTTTTTAGTATATACCTTTTTGTGCTGTGAATCACGTTGATTTCCTTGTCATCACGCTTCCTGAGCTGCAGACACCCACCATGTGAGGTCATTTTCTGGTCTAGACTTCCTCATCTGTAACAAATGAATTGTGACCTAGTTTTCCACTGCAAGGACCCCACTCGATGGCTGCCTTTCCATCTAGCTCACTACTCTGGCTCTCTCCGTATGCCTTACTTAGCACAATCCTTGTCTATTTGTTTCTTTCCCTGCTCTCTTTAGCCAAGGACAACACAGTCTAGTTATCCCCTTATAACAACATACTTTGACTCTTCTCACCTTCCATTCTTTCTAAATCCAATTTTCTGTTTCTGCCATTTTTAGCCATGAAGCTGAGTACTACCGCAGGAAAATTACATAATTTACTTTGAATTTATGAACTTGGATTTCAAACGGACATTCAATCCTCTGGATATTCCTACTATTCTTCCCCCAGTATGTTTACTTTCCTGCCTTCCCAAGGAGCTATTTTACATATTCTTTCCCCAAGACTCCGCTGGATACTCATTTCTCAATGTCAACTTCATAGGGAAAATTAACAATGAGATGAGAAATTATTTTATCTATCAAGTTTCTGATGTGTGTCTTAGTCTTTGTGATATTGTAAAGGATACTTGAGGTTAAGTAACTTACAGAGAAGAGAAATTTATACTTATTACATATTTAAATGAGCAGAAATCCAAGATCCAGACCCTAATATGACTGGTGTCTGGTGAGGGACTCTGGCTTGCTTGGATCTCTTCCTCTAGAGAATTCTATATCCTCACATTGCAGAACACGGAAGAGCCAAGGAGAGGAAAACTGACTCATCTAACTCTTTTCTAAAAGACACTGATCCCGTTCAGCAGGAACCCTCATATGATCAGTCAGTCCCAAAGGCCATGTTGCCCAACGCACTTACACTGGGGACTGGGCCACCAAAATACAGATTTGAAGGGGCGAGATGGTAGCAGTCTAACCCTCTGCCCAGATTTGTCCTATGAAGTTACAGGGGAAGGTATGGGTTACCTTCTTCTGGGGCCTACAGTTTACCCTGGTTCCATTCCTTCTCTGAGCACACGTGTCCTATTGCACTTACACTCTTCCTGTTCTGAACTACATACTTTCTTCCTTTAGATTATTCTCATTAAACACACACCTAAGTCTTCAACTTCAATGAAAGTT